TGTATGTCTTCTATTTACAATCCTCTCAATTTTTTTTTTATAAGTGTGAACATGATTTAAGCTGTTTGAATAACTTTTAATTTTGTATTTCCCCTCACCATGCTGCTATATCAACAGAACATTAGATTCAATAATCTATAGGATGCTAAAATTTCTAAACTGAGTCGAAAAGACTGTTTGAAGAAAACTCACTTTTATTATTATCATTATTATATTTAATATTCTCACTTCGTGCTTCGAATATTTTTGACTTTATATCGTAAATGTGGACAAATTCCTCTGGATAAATTTGTTTGAATTTTTAATTTTGTTTACATTTTAAGTAAATCAGACGCAGTATTGTGACAAATACTGAGAATTCCATTCTGCATTATAGGTACTATTTTTGGAATAAAGTGGATTATTTTAAAAAGGTGTACCAGGTGTTTGACTATTTCATGTATTTATCAGTTTTTTAGAAGAGAAAATCCCTCCGTTTTTCACTGATATATTAACAGAATATATGCGTGGGTAGGAGTTACACTTATCAATATTTTTCACTAAGGCAGAGATGAAACATCTCTGGTGGCAAGATTTCTGCGTATATTTAGTCCTGCATAACTCACTTCTGTAGTTAAGAATGTTTCCATTAACCTGTATTGGCCACACTGAAAGCAGCATTTGGAACCAGCCTCGGTGGCACAGTGGTTAGGAATCTCGCTGACCATGCACATGGTCCGGGGTTCGATCTCCTGCCGAGGCTTACCTGATATCTATGGTCGGTTTGAAAAATTTGGAACAAGACATATAAGCGAACAATATTGTTTTCAATTAGATCTTCTTCAGGCTTTACTCTAATTTACATAGTCTTATATATATAAAATTTTAACCAATGACGGTGATTTAGTGGATCAAATAATAATAGTAATAATAATAATAATAATAATAATAATGTGCTAAATGTTTTGAACGAAGTTAATAGCGATGATTATAATAATAACAAAATATTGTTAATAAGGCTTATATAGGTGATAAGAATAACAAAGTTAGTATATGCATATATGTAGACAATTCAATAAATAAATAAATTAGGTCAAATCAAATGGAACGATAATCAGAGTTTAAATAAATATCATAAAAGTACGAAGGAGAGGGATGATAAGAAAGGGTGGGAGGGTTTTGAATAGAATTCACCTAGGCCAAGGGAGAGATAAGGGTAGAACAAATTTCTTTTGTATACAAAGACTAGGATTGTTCTCTCGAATTCCCATAGCTTCGGCTAAGGGTAAAAGGTCAAATAAAGTCCATACGAAGTTCTATTTTGGCTCATTTGATTGATAGTGGTCACCAAGTGGACAAAAATAGTGCTTTCAAAGTTATCTACCGCATTCCATCAAGTCTTTCGAACGGAATCAGAACCCGTCTTTTACACTTAGCCGAAGCTATGGGAATTCGAGAGAACAATCCTAGTCTTTGTATACAAAAGAAATTTGTTCTACCTTTATCTCTCCCTTGGCCTAGGTGAATTCTATTCAAAACCCTCCCACCCTTTCTTATCATCCCTCTCCTTCGTACTTTTATGATATTTATTTAAACTCTGATTATCGTTCCATTTGATTTGACCTAATTTATTTATTTATTGAATTGTCTACATATATGCATATACTAACTTTGTTATTCTTATCACCTATATAAGCCTTATTAACAATATTTTGTTATTATCATAATCATCGCTATTAACTTCTTTCAAAACATTTAGCACATTATTATTATTATTATTATTACTATTATTATTTGATCCACTAAATCACCGTCATTGGTTAAAATTTTATATATATAAGTCTATGTAAATTAGAGTAAAGCCTGAAGAAGATCTAATTGAAAACAATATTGTTCGCTTATATGTCTTGTTCTAATATTATAAATGGGAATATTTAAAGATTTGAAAAATTTGGGCTACAGATATCACATGCTGAAAATCCCATACCTGTACCAAAATTACGGTATGGAATCAAGCTGAAATCAAAAATAAAATAAAATAATCTGTCATCGGTTAGTCCTGAATGTTAAAGCCACTTTATATTAGGATGATAGTATGAGAAAGTAGGAGTAAATGCTCCTTATATTCAAATGATGTAATCGTGCTTCTAGTTAGTAAATGTACTTTCACATTTGTTCGCATATCACAACAGACAAAGCCATCAAAGTGATGGATATTTTATACTTCACATTTTTTAAAATTGCTGAACTCGATGTTATTCTTTCATGTCAGTGAAATTTCATTTGGCTTCAATAATATACTTTATGTGGTCATGGAAGTGAAATATCCCGCTAATCAAAAGGATTTCAGCACTTATATTTTGATAATATGTAAAATATAGCCATTCAAGAGTGAAAGTAAACTTCATGTTTGCAAGTCATTAAAGAATACATCTATTCTAATGTCTTTGAATAGCCGAATAACTTAATGTTTACCTTCAGTCTATCTGAACGTTTCTGTTCTCAAGCGAATCAGATTTACCCATCTAGACAGATGTATGTAAACGAGAACTTCTGCGTTATCAAAAACTAGCTTTCGAATCACGGTTCAGATATCTATGTTCCTAGTGGAACATAGGGAGGGCTTCAAGCTAAAGGCTTGAAGTTTCTGTAACAGTGGTGATTACTTTTACAGGATGGAGTTGCTAGCCTCATGCCCAACCTTGCCTCTTTACCAGTCTTATTACTGGCTTAGCGAGCGAAGTAAAGCAGTGCGTCAGTGGCCGGGGATCGAACCCCTGACTACTTACGTGGTAAGCGAGCAATCTGCCACTGTACCACCGATGCACTCGTACTGAATTTAATCTCACCTTAATATTATATATGTGCAAACCAAGTTCACTTTTAACAGTTTGAAAAAATTTAGGCATTTGGTGTATAATATTCATTATAATAAAGATTTTTCATTCATTGGAAAATACAAAAACCTTTATTATAATGGACCACCTTAATATTCTTGATTACACTTATTATTTATATCTATTTTTATCCCAAGATATTGACTATTTCACTATAAAACTCGCCATCACTTTCTCAAAATGCTGTTTTGAGATGTCAGTATAGTCCTTAAGTATCTCAGAACATTTCCCTATTTTTCCCACTCTTTTCCTTTAATTAGCTGATGCGTTTCATAGATAACGATGTGGATTCTTATAATTCTGGAAACTGTGGTTTATACTCTGCTTAACAGTGAAGTATATTAAAGACATACTTGCTGGAGCTGCTTATCGGTTCATAAACGTTTTCAACCAGTGGAATTAAGAAATATACTTTATACTTTTATCTCATATAGTTTACTACGATTAGGAATAAATAAGAGACTCCGTGTACTCTCCAAGGCAATTAGCACACTTCAAATGTTTACTTGACCTCGAAGTAATTTGGAAACTACTCGAGTACTACGGCGTACAGTGCCCCAAATATTCATCAAGCTTATTCAACAGCTGTATAACAATGGCACATGTCAACTGATCCACAACGGAAAGCTCAGCGAGGCGTTCGGAGTAAACACAGGAAGGAGTCAGACAAGGGTGCTTATTATCACCAATCAATGACATTCCTAATTGTGCTGGACTGACTGGATTATGCGTCACACCGTGAGTGGGAAACGAGAAGACAGGGATATCCTGGACCGACCGACGTGAAGGAAGAACCTAGAAGACCTGGATTTCGCGCGTGGATGATTTCTGTTTGATGTCACACAAAATCGAAGACGTACAAGCGAAAACCCACCGTCAGACTGGTCGAAGAAGCAGCCGGCGAAGACAGGACTCCATGTGAACATAGGTGAACAAGACGGAGGTTATGAAAATAACCAACCAAACAACCAACAACAACAACAGCAGCAGCAACATCCAGCGCTAATCACCATCAACGAGAGGGATTTGAAAGAGGTTACTTCATTCATTCACTTATCTGGCATTGAGCATTGTCTCAACTACAGGCAGTCGGAACGGTCGAGGATGTCAAATCGAGCGAGAATCGGGAAGGCGAGAAACACATTCATCAACCCGAAACAACCAATCTGGAAATCGTCGTCACTCAGCCAGCATCAACAACAAAATCCAGTTGGATTTTCAATACAAACAAAGTCAAGTCAGTTAGTTCTTCTCTATGGATCAGAGCTTGGCTGGCGGATCACAAAGAATATTTCCAACAGCCTGTTGCAGACCTTCATCAACAACTGTCAACTATCGCTCTATACTGAAGATCAGATCAGATGGTCGGGCCGGAGATAATTACCAACAAAAAACTATGGGCACAAACAAACAAAACAAGAACCAATCGCCAACCAACAAATATGCAGGAGATGGATGGATTGGACACTCGCTGAGGAGGGAGGCCGCTGGGTTACATCGTGCGCGCGTCAGACCATTGCTCGAGTGGAACCAGGCTGAAAGGTAAGTGGCGTGTGGGACGTCAGTGCAAGTGTGACATGGAGGAGATGGTGTGAAGAGGGGTTGAAACAGTGTGGACTAACATGGATGCAGGTGAAAAGTACAGCAGAAGGAAGACAGAAGCAAGTGTAGACGTGCAGTTGAAGCCCTATGTTCCACTAGGAACCCAAGGGAGCAATAATAATAAATAATAAATGTTTAATTTCTGCAGTATCTAACCTAACAGAGAGCATATAAGTTAAAAAAAAGCTGTTTATGTAATTTGCATACAAAACGGAATAACGAAACTTGACGTTCAAAGTTTGTCTGTCCTAGTATGTACAAAATTTTGTCGAATTATAGCGATAATTCATAGATTGAATAGAATACCCTATGAAGTTGCAGTATGCATTAATTTGAGTGGGGTGGGGGTGGCTTTTGTATACACTTATGTATAACGCAGTTGTGAGTTCACAAGTTACAATACACATAACAAACAAGTTAAAATTCACAATTATTATGACAGAATAACACTGTGTACATATTGATTTGGGAGCTAATAACACTTTCGTACTAGAAGAAAAAAAAGGTAAACAAGTAATATTCATTTCACTATTTGATGTGTTTGTTTTTATGCGTTGCAGTTTGAAAGTTATCATCTACTATGGCATAAAATGATATCAAACAAACAAACAAACAAAACAAGTATAAACATTTGACAATAGAGGAGTTCATTTTCAAATAGACAGTCTTTGACAGTCTTAGCAAATCAATAACCAGCAATAGCAACAGCTAACCGAAAGAGGTAATTCTAATAAGGAAATACTACCCATTAGAAGTAAAGACATTCATAACGATGATGATGATGATGGGGGTGATGAGGATCCAATTATACTTTAAAAACTACCATCTCTAATCAAACCTGAACATTTATGTATAAATAAAAGACGTTTAAAAGCACATGCATATTCTTTGTTAAAAAATGTATAAATTAATGGATTGCATATACTATTACTATAGCCTAACCAACAAACAAATGAGTATAATCCTTCTGAAAATGTACAATCAAATATTGCTTCGCCTAAAAAAAATGTAAAAAATGGCAACCAACATAGTGTATAGCAACCTACAATTGCTGCAACAGTTCGATTAGTCTTCTTCTCTTTTTTGAGTAATGCACGTTCATGACGTTGGATTGATTTAGGCGAATGCTTCTTTACTAGCTTATTTATATGATGAGGATTGTTTCTGGCATGATCTTTAGACAAGGATATGTTGCAAAGCTTTTCGACTTGATTATTTGCAATAATTAAGTTTTGGTGTAATTTATGCAGCTTGACTGTCGAAAATTCAAGTTTATTTGTTGACTGTGGGATTTCAGGAGCATTATCATCAGTTGATGTTTGCGACATATAATCATTATGTGATGTGTAAATAATGTTATCTGAGCTTAGATTAGGTGATATAATATCCGAGTTTGCTCCTTTAAACGTTTGTATTTTGTGTATACTAGACTGATTTGAACAGGTCCCTCTTTCCTTCAAATTATCTTTTGAATACATGCGATCATCACAGACGGAAGAGGCTTCTGCTGATATATGCGATTTATCTGATGCTTGTTTATCGATAGGAGATCTGGCCTTTTTAATACTTCCAGGTAGACTTTGAGAATGTTTACCTGCACATCCACTTGTAAGCGAAAATAAAGATGAACCTATGTCTTTGTTTGAAAAACTCGTTTGTGAATCACGACATTTATTCCATTTTCTCTTAAAGTCTGTTCGGTACGAAGGTGTACAGAGAGCAGATGAACTGAACATATTAGCATTGTCGGATTTTGAGGTTTTATGTTTTAGCTTATGAATTTTAACATTTTCAAATGCTTTCATTCGATTGTTTATAATGCAAAATATTCTAATATTGACAAATGCCAACAATAATAATGGCACAAAGAAACCTAGTACAGATGAATAGATTCTATATTTCTTATCATAACTTAAATAGCAATTTCCAATCCCGGAAGTATGCTCATATGATCCAATTAAAGGTGGCACAATAGCCGGTAGAGGCAATATCCAAGCGATAACTATCATAGCTAATGCTGTTGCACGATTTCGTTTGGTAATATATTTAATTGGATAACTAATAGCAATAAAACGATCTATTGATATACAGCACAAGTTAAATATAGATGCCATGCAACACTGTGTATCTATAGAAATGTAAAAATAGCATAAAATTGCTGATTCAAATGGCCAGTAGCCTAAATGATGACGTACAATAGCGAAGGGAAGAACAAATACCGACACTAAAAAGTCAGCTATAGCAAGTGACAGCAGATACTGGTCAGTAATTCGTCGCAGTTTACTCGTTGTAGCAACAGCTAGAATAACCAACAAGTTACCGATGAATATTCCTGCAGTAAGTAAAGCTAAGAAACTCGTAATAATATTTGTAACCATTGTCCCCCATAGTAGATTCTCATAGTTCTGTTCATCTTTTGATAAAACACCAGTCTTATTCTCTTGTTCTACTGATAAATTTGACCCTTCAAAAGAACTAGATATATTAATGGATGCAGACGCTAATAAATTCACGGTCATTTTTTAACCTTGCCGAGTAAATCCTATCTTAACTAATATTATTCAATGACGTTCAAAACTCAGTTTCTAGTTATTAGATAAACTCACGGACTTAGTTGTTCAAACCAAGTTCAATGGTTTGAAGTCATGTCGGTACATATTCATCGGTTGATTATATTTCAATTGAAAATTTCGCATTTTTAAGAGTTTATATAATGGTCCGTAAATGTTGTTGAATGTTAGTGTATAGTCATTTCATCAACAAGCTTTGAGTTATATACCACCTTTGGTTTTACAGCGGCATTGCAAATAAACACAGAAATAAGGTATATATATGTATATATACATATATACGCCAGTGTATTCAAGGAAAATTATCCAATTGACATTTTATTTTCGAACTTTCACCTCTGCTCAACGAAAATCTGATATTAGCCAATGGAAGAACAGTTTTAATATGCATTTTGTTAGTTTAATCTTTAACAAAAGAAACATAGAAATAACATTAATGGTATGAATAAACAAATTGAACTTGAAAGATTTTATGTTTAATAAACATCTATCCAATCACTTGAGACCTTTCACAAACTATTACCAAAAATAAGTGGTATACAATATGGGATGTGATGTGATTACTTCTGGATCATTAGAGATGATAGTTGAGGATATTTTTTGGCTTTTTAAGTGATAATAATTCGGGTGTATAGCAAGTTGAACAGGCGACGGAATTTAATCTCTATATATTGAAATCCTGCTGTTTATCTATCAATTGTAATTAATTTGGTGTAGACATCCTGCATTGAAAGAGAGTACAATATATTTTCTATAGTTACGTTTGTAAAGTTTAATTATATTTTTACGAGTTGATCACGGATTGATATCAGTTAGAGAACCATTGAAAACCAGGGAGTACTGGACAGCTACTGTTTGATCCTAGTTTGGGAATCATCGGCAGTACGTACCCCCTGGGATTCGAACCCAAAACCCTCCGGCAACTTTGTGTACCAATCAGCCACTGGGACCCGACTGAGTGGCTCATGAATTGTAACTTCTACCAATTCATGATTTAGTGTGACCCCAACCATTGTCGTTGGTGGGACATCCTTCTACACACTTGACATCTACTTGGACCTCACTGACCACGACTTTTCACTAGAATTCCAGGAAAATCCATCCTCTAGCAAGTCACTAGCGAGCATCAGATTAATTTTCTGTAGTTTGGTCTGTAAGGGTTAGCTATGTTGCTACACATGTCACGTGTGTGTATGGATTTCCCACCGGCGACATTGGCTGTCTGTCTGTCTGTTTTCGACACAGAACTTTGCACAAATGTGCGGAAGTTCAAGTCGCCACATTCCGTGTAGCACACGAAGCAAGAGAAGAAAGTACAAGAAAAGCATAATAGAAACAGTGAGCAGAGGTGTGAGACAAAGGAGTAATAAAGAAATACAAAACAGTTTCATTGAAGATCATAAGTCACAGGGAGTGGATGCATCTGCGCCACTGAGAGCGGTTTTGAGCCATGTCACCAATTGACATTGGCTGTGGTCTCGTTAAATCACGAATTGGTAGAATTTAGAATTCTTGCACTGGCCATTGAGTAAGGTACCATTGGCTGAATGGTATACAAGGTTGCCTTGTAACCGGAGGGTCTTGGGTTCAAATCCCAGTGGGTGCGTACTGCCGATGATTTCAGAACTAGTATGAAACAGCGGCTGTCCAGTATTCCCTGGTTTTCAAAGTACACTATATGTTTTCACTTTGAGCTTTCAAGAATATCGGGAAGAAATCGTCATGAGTGCATTACAGAAAGTACTCTGGAACAATGGACGCCTGTGAAATTAATCCTTATTTAGGTACACAAATAACCTATTGTCACATTTAACCTACAATGGTAATACCTATTTGTTTATACCGCCAAGCATAGTGTTAATTATTATTATTATCCTTAAATCCCTTATTATTTCGTTCAATTGGACTTTCATTATTTTGTGTGCGTTTTATTTCATATAAAGAGATTTGGGAAATAAACGTGTGATTAGATCGTTCGAAGTGTATGGTTCATTGTATTTTTCATATAAACTCTGTGTTCTAATAACTTTATGCCAATTTATTTCAGGGACGAGTTGTTTTAAATTTATGCAGAACTGCTGGAATCCAGCTGACAAAGAAAGGTGTATCTAAAATTCTTATACAAAAAAGGCAGGATTAATATCTTGGAAAGTAAGAAATGCCTTTTAGAAAACCTGTTGTTAAAAGGTTAAGATCTGAAATACAATGACTGCGTCGAAAATCATCTCAAATCTCACCTATTGCGGAAAGTCATGACAAATGAATGCTATAAGGAATATCAGAAAAGCATAGTAGAGAGTGAATGTCACCATTAGGTTTGTTTTAAGTTTCGACATCTTATATGGTTACAGAGGTGCCTTTAATTCTGATAGATATTATAAGTGTTTAATTTGTAAGACTATTGAAAGACTGATGAAACCGTTTTAGAATAGTAAGAAGTAAGCAGTGAGCGGAAATTTTGAGCTTCGATCATTGATGATAATATATGGAGGATTTATGTAAACTCTTTTTATGTGAACATTCCTTAGTATTCTTTCAGATAACTTAAGATTTTCTTTTAAGCTCTCTCTAGATTGTTTGCAACAGCAAAACTAATTTACATTTACTAATATAAGCATAAAACTTGGGCACTGTGATACAGTGATTCTAACTCCATTATAGATAAGATTTTATTTTGACAATTCACACAGTGTTGTGTTGTGCAGTAATATACATAAATTGATGATGTTTCTCAAGCACCAAGACCAACGCCTCTTCTATCAGTTTCATTTCATTGTTTAGGTCTTTTTTAAATCTTTAAATATTCCCATTTATAATATTAGAACAAGACATATAAGCGAACAATATTGTTTTCAATTAGATCTTCTTCAGGCTTTACTCTAATTTACATAGACTTATATATATAAAATTTTAACCAATGACGGCGATTTAGTGGATCAAATAATAATAGTAAACATAATGGTTCAATGGTTCTCTAACTGATATCAATCCGTGATCAACTCGTAAAACATAACTAATCCTTACAAACCAAAACTATAGAAAGTTAATCTGATGCTCGCTGGTGACTTGCTACAGGTTGGAGTTTCCTGAGTTCTAGTGAGAAGTCGTGACCAGTGAGGTCCAATTAGATGTCACGTGTGTGGATGGATGTCCCACCAACGACAATGGTTGGGGTCGCGCTAAATCACGAATTGGTAGAAGTTAGAATTCACGAGCCATTGAATCGGGTCCCAGTGGCTGAATGGTATACGAGCTTGCCTTGTAACCGGAAGGTCCCGGGTTCGAAACCCAGTGGGTGCGTACTGCCGATGATTCCCAAACTAGGATGAAACAGCAGCTGTCCAGTACTCCCTGGTTTTCAATGGTTCTCTAACTGATATCAATCCGTGATCAACTCGTAAAACATAACTAATCCTTACAAACCAAAACTATAGAAAGATAATAATAATAGTAATAATAATGTGGTAAATGTTTTGAACGAAGTTAATAACGATGATTATAATGATAACAAAATATTGTTAATAAGGCTTATATAGGTGATAAGAATAACAAAGTTAGTATATGCATATATGTAGACAATTCAATAAATAAATAAATTAGGTCAAATCAAATGGAACGATAATCAGAGTTTAAATAAATATCATAAAAGTACGAAGGAGAGGGATGATAAGAAATAAATTTAGTTGCTCCTGTGGAGAAAGCTATATAGGCCGAACAACTAGACAGCTTAACAAACTCATTATTGAGCATCTTCCTTCATGGTTCGGAAAAGGTCAAATAAAGTCCATACGAAGTTCTATTTTGGCTCATTTGATTGATAGTGGTCACCAAGTGGACAAAAATAGTGCTTTCAAAGTTATTTACCGCATTCCATCAAGTCTTTCGAACGGAATCAGAACCCGTCTTTTACACTTAGCCGAAGCTATGGGAATTCGAGAGAACAATCCTAGTCTTTGTATACAAAAGAAATTTGTTCTACCTTTATCTCTCCCTTGGCCTAGGTGAATTCTATTCAAAACCCTCCCACCCTTTCTTATCATCCCTCTCCTTCGTACTTTTATGATATTTATTTAAACTCTGATTATCGTTCCATTTGATTTGACCTAATTTATTTATTTATTGAATTGTCTACATATATGCATATACTAACTTTGTTATTCTTATCACCTATATAAGCCTTATTAACAATATTTTGTTATCATTATAATCATCGTTATTAACTTCGTTCAAAACATTTACCACATTATTATTACTATTATTATTATGATTACTATTATTATTTGATCCACTAAATCACCGTCATTGGTTAAAATTTTATATATATGAGTCTATGTAAATTAGAGTAAAGCCTGAAGAAGATCTAATTGAAAACAATATTGTTCGCTTATAGGTCTTTTTTGTTTGTGCTTCTATTTAGTGTTATTGCTCGGTTTGTTAGACGCACTTAACTAAGCCAGCTTCTATAGACAACGAATGAGATGAATTAAAGTCAAAATATCTACTAGAATGCGTTGGCTTTTTATAAATGCAAGTGTGCAGTTTACCTTCTTACGTTCGTTTGATTCTACAACCTAACTTCATAGCGAATTCTCCTTGTTCATTTTATGATTCAAATGTAAGTTGTATTCCCTTCACTAGTGAGGCCCTTGGATAGGATTCTTAATAAAGCAGGAATCAGGATGGCATTCAAACCAACAAACTCACTCAGAGACAAGCTCTGTGGGCTGAAAGACTCGGTGAACCCAGTTAAACAAAATAATATAATTTACAAAATACCTTGCAATCACTGTGAGTTAAGTCAACTACAAAGGTCATACTAGTTGATCGAGAGTAGTGAGATTATCAGAACATAAGAATTTAGATAGGGTTAGAATGACTGATCCCACGAGAACAAGTAACTTGGAAAAAAGCTCAGCGGTTGCACTGCTTGCAATAACACACAATCACACAATAGGGTGGGTAGGACAGAGTAAAAATTCTAAAAGGTAATATAGGTAGCTGGAGAGAGAGAGGATAGGGATTGATAAATGAATCCTCCCTGTTTCATCGGGTCCACACCCAACCCATGCAACAGAAGTGACTCAGTACGTATACAAGAGATATGGAAGGTATTACTACCCTAGTCAGTCAAATCAGAGGAGGATAGTAAATAATCTTAAAATTCTACTTCTGTTCTAACAAGCTACTTATTTTTACTGTAAAACCATCTTATTTCCCATCTGATT